CTTGGCCATGTGAGTGTATTCTTCTTTCTTGGGTACAACCCTCATCCACATGCACTCTCACTGACTATACCAATTCTTCTTTCTTCTTCTTAGGCCGCTCATTAAAGGTGGCGTGCATGTGGGGAAAATTCTTCTTGTAACTCACGGTTCCCCATCGCAACAACCTTTTCTTCTTTTTATCTTTTTACACTTCTTTAAATAAAATTCAGATTTGAAACTTCTTTAATATTCTCATTTCTTTCTATTTACTCTTTAACATTCTTTAGTGCTTTTTCATGCTCTTATGAATATGTATGCATGTAGATGGTCTCATACTTATAATTCTTTCTAAATTCACATATTTAAATGCAATTATGCAATATGCAATGCAAACATGTCATTCTCTACCATCTACAAACTCATCTCAATATAATACATAATGATACTCATACAAACACTTCTCTTTGACATTTCATCAAACAACTTATGTGCACAAAGCAACTTTAATTTGACTACACTTCTTTCTCTTTTCTAAGCCACCAAAAATTGGGAATAAAACCCTCCATATTTAATGCCAAATCTACCCAAAATATACACTCCAAAATTTCCACTCCAATTCTTCCAAATTTCATCCAAACATTCATCAAACATCAAATACACCAACACAACTTCTCATGGATAAGTTATAATCATCATTCAACACCAAATCTATATATACATAAAAGAAATTCTCTACACAACGTAACTTAAATCATACTTAGGGCAGGATTTACTTACCTTATATGTGAGCAATCCAACCCTTTAAGAATCTTTATTCATCCAACTCTCTTCCACTTAAATCCTATGAACACAAACCATCAAAATTCAACACTTTAAAAATTAAAACTCACTTCTTAGTGCAAAGATCTTGCCTAAAGATGCTTGGGATTGAAAATCCACTCAAAATTATCCAAAATCTATGAATTTCCTTTGAAGAAGAATTGGAGAAATTGAGAGAATATGGAGGTGAAGGTGGCATGAAAATGGATGAAGAGCGGCTAGGGTTTCACTCTTCAATCCTTGATATAACATAAAATTATATATTAGTTTCCCATTTTGCCCTTGCACTTTCTTTAAAATTCCATCTATGTCCCTTTATCAATTACCATAATGCCCTCATTTTATTGCATTCTCCATGAAATTTTATCTCTTTTCACTCCCCACAATTTCAAATAATTTTGAGTGAAAAGACCATTTTACCCCTAATGAAAATTTAAGGCATTTTCTTCACATTTTCTCAAAATAACTTTAATAAAAATCAACTAAGGGTATAAGGACAGAAGTTAAGTTACGTACCTTAATGTGGGCGTTACATGAAATATTTGACAAATATTCTGTATTTGAAACTTTGCATTGCTATAGAATAAGTATCATATCTAATTTTCTATCCTATGGAACACTTCTTTGAAAACAATATTTCGCAACTTTTCTTCTGGTTCATCTTGTTGTTGGACTAATAAGATCTTGATACCTTTTCTCAAAGTTACTCTTGATAGGGCAACATATAATTGTCCATGGGTAAATACTTGGTGTTTTACGTACAATCTCACCGTTTTGAGTGATTGACCCTGACTTTTGTTTATAGTCATGCAGAAGCTAACTGCAATTGGTAATTGCCTTCTGTTCAGTCTGAAAGGCCATTTCATATCTGCATTGGACATTGTTATTCTAGGAATCACAACATTATCACCAATATTTGATCCTGTAATAATTGTTGCTTGTATGCACCACTTCCCTAGATGAGTCACAATCAATCTTGTCCCATTGCAAAGGCCATTTAATTGATTCAGATTTCATAGCAACATAATTGGAACTCTACTTTTTAATTGCAATTCATGTTTTGGCATACCAGAGCACATCAAAGAGTTAAGGAACTCTGTTGGATATAGAATGTCATCATCATTTGAAGTCCCTGCTACTTTGCAAGTGCTGGCTGAACTGTAATAGGTCTTTGATTCTGATTGCAATTTTTGAATAATGTAGTCGTTCAATTCATGTGTTGTATCATTTCTAGCTGTCAATATTGCCCTTCTCTGATATAATAAACATTGCCTATCTCAGCAGATAGAATCGAGAAAACAACATTCACAATTCTTTCTTCTGGATTTCTGTGTTGAGAAATTTTCAAATCTTCAGGAATTTCTATAAAGCTTTCATCTTCTGATACTCATGTTCCTTCACCAATTTGAAGTAACCATCTGTCAAAAGTAGTCAACTCATCCAATTCTGCATCGCTTTGGAAATTCTTTTCAATCTCGTATTTTTTGTTAGCTTCAACACGGTGACATGTTCCCAAAGGGGAGATGAAGATAAACATGCTTGCGTCACATCATATTTTTTCCCCTTTAGTATAATTGGTAAAATCTGTCTAAAGTCTCCACCCAGTGAAACAGTTATGCCTCCAAATATTATATTAGCATTTCACGAATCTTTATCAGACAAAATCTCCCTCAAAGATCTGTCAAGTGCTTCAAAGCAATACCTATTTGCCATTGGTGCTTCATCCCAAATTATCAAAGATGTTGTCAAAATCAGTTTTGCCAATTGTGTTCTTTTCTTAATATCACATGTACTCTTGTTAGTTACATCCAAAGGTATCCTGAAACTTGAATAGGCTGTTCTTCCTCCTGGTAATAGCAAGGCAGCAATACCTGACGTAGCAATAGAAAGAATAATTTTACCTTCAAACCGCAATTTTGCATTTCTTGGTTACCATAGGAATGTTTTGCCTGTTCCACTATGCTCGTTAACAAAAAACGACGTTCCTCTTTCATTATAAACTGAATCAATAATTGAATTGTAAATGTATCTCTATCCATTGGTTAGACCATTGTATAAGTCATTGTGCAGGATTTTGTTGTTGTCAATATCGTAATTCAACTCCTCAGGAATAAACTTATTCTGCATATTTTCAAATTCAGCACGATTTGGAGTTGGCAATCCATGAAAATTAGCCATTGTTTTTCCTCCTTTTTTAATGAAGTCTTCAGTCTCCATCATTGCATGATTGTGTAACTGCTCCGTATTGTATCTCATCGTTCTCATTCCTGTTTTTTTCCTGAGATTATATGCGATGTCTTTAGATGGTTCATCTGCATTTGCTCACCATAATTCTGCTGGGTTTACGACTTCATTAAATAAAAGAATTGTTAAAAATAGTTGTGATAAGAGCTTGAAAATACACATTTAGTTAGTGGTTTTGGGGGGATTAATTGTGGGAAATTAGGCTTAATTTGGTAAAGTTGCTTAATATTTTTATAATTGCCTTTTATGGGATCACGGGTGTTTTTGATTTTTTTTAAGGTCACCAGTGCTTAAATTTTATGCTCGGATGAAGAATCATGTTGGCAATGGAATGAGTGATAAGTGGAAACAAACGGATCAAGAATCGGAGTTGAATTGAAGAAGTTATGGAAGTTGAAGTAAAGAGAAGATTCTAGATTACATTCCAGCTTGCGCATACCTTGGTATTTTAAGAATATATTGAGCTGTAGAACTCAGATTAAGACTATTCTTGAACCGTTGGAAATCTAATTGAAAGGGCTACATTTCATATGTTTACAACTTTTCCACATTCCATTTGTATCAAGTTAAAAAATCAACATCTTTTAAGAACAGTGGAATGAAGCGGGGAAAAGGGCAGCAGCTACTGTGCCGTGGCACACTTTTTCTAGTAGCTACTGTACCACAGCACAGTGCTGCGGCATAGTCATGGAAGTCACTAACTTGTTTTCCATTTTTAGCCAAGAGAATAGGGTTAAGGGTTTTAAATCAAATAGAATTAAGGAAAAACAAACCCTAACCCTTGTGGGATATAAATAGAAGTCTTTTAGCATTATTTGGGGGGATTCTTTGGTGAGAAGAAAGGGAGGAAAATCTAGAGAGAAGAGAAGTAACAAGAATTTTGGAGTTTTGATTCACAATATAGAGAAGTTTTCCTTATTCTTTTCTTGTAAATTCATGATGAATGTTTTAATAAAGATGATTGTTTCTTTCATGTTTATTATGAACTAATTCTCTTTTCTAGGGCTAAGATGTAGCCCAATTTATGAATATGTATTGACTTAAATTGTTGTTAATTCCTATTGAGCTTTTAATTCTAAGTTTTATTATTGTGCATAATGCTTTCAATTCTTAAGGGCCTGAGAGTTGATTGATATCATGGGTTGGGTTGAGATCGAGAGATGAAACCTAATTTGACTAAGGTAATAAAACCATAGATTGACCGAACGCTAGAGATAGGTTATAGCGGTTTGTGAAGTTCTGGTAAATTCCATAGAACTTAATGATCTCTTAGCTTCTAAATCCGACTTAGAGATATCTTGGGTTGTTGCTTAAGGGTTAATTTCTTAATTGTTCGAGAGAAAATTAGTAGAATTTTAGGGAATCTGGCTTTTAGAATATGCTTAATTAGGTTAGCAATAATTGTCAATGCATAGGATTAAATTGGTGTGAAATCTGTGCCCTAGGTTTAGTTATATTGATCTTGACTTCAAAATGTTTACAAATTCTGCATTTGTTTAGTTTCTAGTTTATTACTTTTTCATTAAAGTCATTCTTAAAATTCTGTTTTATCAAATAGCAATAGAATAGACTAGTTTGGTACTTGGTAGGTACTTCCCTTGGGATTCGACACTCGTTTACTCGAGCTTTATTACTTGCACGATTTCATATACTTGCGAAAAGCCTGTCAAGTTGTCGTAACTGTGTTCCAGTAGCCCATATTGATGCTTCAGTCAAGCAATCATTCCATTCTTTGTTATCATCCACAAGCCTAATGCATAACATTCATCTTTGAATGCAGGATATATCCTTCCATTAACAGTTTAGATATTTTCAAATGATGTTGCTCCTCTATCCAAATTTAACAACATCCGCAGATAATATTTTTCACTGCTGCCTGGAAATGCAAAGTAAATTCTACCAATGCATCTTCCACCTTCCCGTTGACTCCATCTCCTTTCTTTGTCATTCCAAACCCATTATGTTGGGAAGTCAGAATAAGTCAATGATCTCGCCTCTTCATATTGTTGATTACATTTCATCCACTCTGTTAATTTTGTCTGAGTAACAACATTGCTCTCCAAATATTTGACTAAATTCTGATTTGGATCAAAGACAACTGTTTCTTCATTCTCCAAGTGGAAAGGAAGTCTTTCAACAACTAGTTCTCTATAGTACACATCAAATTGATAAATTCTCCAACTAGCCTCCATGGCAGAAATATATCTATAAATATAGTAATTGCATTTTTCAATATTATATTTATAACAAATAACAACAAATATATTATATTTTATTCTTCTATATACATACTTGCAATCGACATAAGCTTTAATTTCATGATCCTCTGTAATATTTGTGCATCCATAACTCCCTTCGTTATTTTTTGCAACCTCCATAGAAACTTTGATTCTGTCGGGTCCTTTGTTGACATACTTGAATAGATTCTTGATTGATCTATGCTGGTTACAGATCTCAATGTTTATGTGACCATCGTACTTAACCATCAGATTTATATTATAGGGAACAACAAAACGGTTGTCAATTTTGACACTTTTTTTCTCAATAATTGATCCAGTATCTCGCCTTCTATATATCAGGTACCCTTCATCCTCTACAGTTGTTGCATTCACAAATTTCTTTGGAAAATGTTTTTTGCATTTCCCGTTCTCCATGCAAGGTGAACTTGTATTTAAATTTCCACATGGACCATGGATATTGTGGTTCCCAACGGCTGCATAAGTAAGAGGATCCTTTTCTTTATCTGGTATTTCAGCAGATATCATCATATCAATCTTTGATGGAGAAGGATTCTTATATTCACCGCAGAGGAAAATCAATACATGTACATGTGGGAGGCCTTTTTTTTGGGATTCAATAGTATAAATAACTGGGAAATATAATAGAATATTGTCAATAATTGTTGATATATTGTAAATTTCATATTATAAATCGTAAATGAACAAATATTTTAAAAGAAAATATACATATTACTTATAACAGAACTTACTTGCTAGAGTTTCTTTATCTCTTTCATCAGTTCAAACAATTTCATCTCGAACACTCTACAAACAGTAGTTACTCTTCCTTCTTCATCACATTGACCAATAGCATTATGTATATATTGTATCTCTGGCCACTTTGGGTTACATGTGAATGTCAAAAAAATATCAGGATATCAATGATATCTGCAAATTGTCATAGCATCTTGATAATTTTGAATACAATATCTTGGGTTGCCAGTGTCAGAGGATGGTAGTGATGTACACTTGCCTATATTCTCTGCATTAACATCCCCATTTGAAATAGCATCCATCAATCCGCTATAAAAATCACTTCTTAATTTTTTTTTTTTTCTTATGCAACGAAACCTTTTGTCTTCAATAGCCATATATGCATCTACAATGTATTATTGCAATAGTCTGCCAGATTTCATCAAAGTGTGTCCTTCATTCAATCTATACTGCAATCGAAAGGCATAAAATTGTCTTATAGTCAGTTTATGCCTTGTAGAAGTTTCTCTGTCTCCTGATTCTCTATGCTTAATGCCAACCCTGTATCCATCCTCTCCATACAGAAACAAAATCAGATAACTTAATGCCATAAAACTGGAATGTAAGCCAGTAATTCTCTGTAAACCATTCTTTGAATGATAAACAATAACATCCTTTCCAACATCCAACAATCCAACATCACCAACAATTATTCCTGCAATTTCAGATGCAAGTGGCAGATTATACTGTCTTCCATCTTTTTCTCTATGGATTTTTAACTGCAAGTGGACTTCAAGAACATTATTTGATTCAATATAATCCCTGGCAAACCGAAAACTTTTAACCATCTCATTGTCCCTATCAAGTATCAATTTCAATTCTTTGATCAATTCCTTGTCAACACTATTATAAGTTGCTTGCCTTCCCATACAATTCAATCTTTGACTGATTTGACATTGTGTATCATAGATGTAAAGCTATGCAAAAGTAGGTTTCTTTCCAGCAGGTGGAAGCAATGCCCCTATACGGTGATAATTTTGCCCACAAAATCTGAAAACATATGGACCACTATTTCTATTGATATCAGTATCAATATCCCCTCCCATTGATGTAAATGAGAATATCGAGTTGTATATTTTTATCTTGTTTCTGAATATTTTTCCTTTAGAACCATTGTTTACATCCAATAATTCTTTCAACAATTCAGGTGGTTCTTTCAACAGTGGTAACTCAATTTTCCCATCCACACAACATAACGAAAATACAGGAGAAGTTATCTTTCTACTCTTAATTGTAAACTCTTCATACCACATGATTGCCCTAACAATGCTTGCAATGGTAAATGGTAAACTCTTCATACCACATTTTGTCATTCGCACTATCACCGGTTTCAGTTCTAGCAGCTTTTGCAGCTCTTTGTTGTGTACAATCATTCTCAATTTCCTATGTTCCTTGCACACTCTTCTTCTCAATTCAACAGCAGTTGTATTTCCAAAATCAAATTCCAATTTATAACTTTCTATCATTTCCAAATATAATTGTATGTTTGCTGAAACTCCATCAGTAGTCTCCATACTATGCTTTTCCACATGAACAAACAAAATTAGACTCGAACAATTTAATAGTCACTCTTTCTATTTTTTTATAAAACAATTATACAACCATGTTGATAATAATTTAATACAATGAAGAAAGCGAACAGACATCATATCTTTTAGAATTGCCCAAAATTTTGGTTCAACAACAACTTATGACATTTTTATATTTCTGTATTATGGTTCGGCATACTTATAAAAATAAATTTATAAATGATTATTATATAGTTATATGTAAATTATCGCTCGACAAATAATACAGATATAATATATGCACCAGTTACATTTAAATCATAGGTCAATATTACCTTAACACAATTCTAAGGATCTAATACATTGTTCGGCATCCAGCATATCAAAAAGTAATAATACACCAAATAAATGGATGGACATTGAAAATGTTAATTAACAAATCTATTACAATCAAAACCAAAATTATAATTCATTAAATAATTTACTACAACTCTATAGAAGAATTGTAGTCAAGTTTTTTTAATACTATCATATACATATTACAATCCTATAGCCTAACCAACATAATTCTATAACCAGTATAGAAAATTGCATAATATAGTGATACACAAAAATTTGAGAAAAAAAAAAATAAAGCTTCATTACCTGTAAAAAGAAAAATATTGCAATAATAAATTTCAAATTATTTTCGTTGATTGTATATACCTACGTCAAACAAAAACAAAAGATATTTACAACACATGGACACTAATGAAAAGCACATAACAATCATCTACAAATTGTTATATATATTACAAATTTAAAAAGTAATACATACAACATTTAAGTATTAAATTGTTAAAAGAATCAAGACCATTACATTACCTTTACCAGCAGATATATTGTAGCTACGAAGAACAATTTTTATCTTGTTCTATAGATATGATAAGACCAAATAATCAGGAAAAGGAAAAAACAATTATTTATCAATCTAATATTGATTACATAAATATATTTATATGTATACGAAGTACATTAATTACAATAATTCAATGTATAAATCACTAAACATTTAATTTTTGCAATAGTACAACGTATCAATCACTTCCTATTAACATAAATACTTTGAATGTTTTCTATTAATTTCACATAACAATAAAAACGAACTATTTTTGCAATAGTACAACGTATCAACCACTTCATATTCACATAAATACCTTGAATGTTTTCTATTAACTTCACATAACAGAAATAATTAACACATATAACGTATATGTTCACATTAAGAAGCATTAACTGAAAGCAAATCAAAGAGACCAGATACAATATACCAACTGATTAATATCCAATAATTTATTTAAAAAAAATTACAATAATAGAAACAACGTATAAATCGTTTGACATCCAAATAAATATTTATATCAATTAATTTAAAAAATATTGTGTTAACAATACTTCATTAATGGCATAATTAAATTCATTACATAAATAAAACATTAAAGTATCAAATATGTAATTAATATGCAGTCAATACAACAATTATCAGACGATATAATTGAAAATTTAAGAATGTTTACCATACCTGGGCTTAATCATATGCAATATGAAGGATTTTGTACGATCATTAATCTGGGTTTAAGAGAAGAACATTGTAATCATCGATGAGGATTTAAGAAAACAATTGTTGAAGTTTTAAAAAGAAAAAACATATAGATCAATAAATTGAATTTCAATTTGTTTGTGAACACAAATAAAAGAAAAAAATTGCTATATATAAATCACTGACATATTCTTCTGACAATATATACCTTTATTAAGTATAATAATGTTCAAAAATTTGTAAAATCTACAATTCAATAAAACGCCGCTGTTTAGCTTCTTGCTATGTATTTAAAATAATTTTGGGGATTTAGGGTATTTGTTCTTGTTCTATGTATTGCAGATTCATTCAACGTCTTTAAAACCAATTAGTAGGTAAGTGAAATTATTTCCTATTCCACTGGTTCTTAATATAATTTTTCTTCTTGACAACGTCTCATTTAGAAATTAGCAGTACCCTTTTTGATGAAGAAGTTCTAAACTTCCGAAAAGAATACAGTATCTCTGACGATTATGATTTATTGCCTTGTGATTCGCTTGGGTTTTATATATTCGCTATTCCTCCTTTTGGGTTTTTTTACCTCTTGTGAAATATTTTTGCAATATGGCTCAGTTCCTCCATTCTCTCCATTTGCAAAAGAAGTAATGATGGCTTATAAAATAGCACCGAGCTAGCTCCATCCAAATGGTTGAAAAATTGTTATGGCTTTCGAAGTTATTTGCTTGATGAATACAATTGAACCAATGTTTTCTATTTTTAACTATTTTTTATGCAATTAAAAAGAGACCCAATAGTCCCTTTTACTTTATTGAGAGTAGGAATGGTAAAGTGTTGTTAACAGGTTTGAGCAATAAGTTCCGAGGGTGGAATGATAGGTACTCTTTATTGGGTTGTAAGAAAGGTTGGGGTGGATTACCTACTGAGTGGTCAAAATTCAAAAAGAGGGACAATGAAAGCGGTAGTAGTAAGGGAAATGAAATTGCAATCAAAAGATTGGAACTTCTTAATCAGCAACAGCAGACTTTTGACATCTACAATATGTTGAGCAAATACTCAGATTTTAATTCAAAAAGTGGTATTAAGAATTTTAATATAATTGCACCTTATTTTTGTTAGAAATTTATTGTTTTTTATTTTGTTAATGAAAATTATATTTGTGAAAGCAGGTCCAATTGCAACAGCTGCAGTAACAATTTCTCCAACCAAATTGATTGTTTCTACACATCCTGCACCATCTACATCTGAAAAAATATATTCACCAATTGAACCAAATGATGAAGATATAGAAGAGAGTCAATTGTTAAAGAGAAGGAAGCGTGAGAACAACAGCAAGGAAGTAAATATAGTTCTTAATTATGAAAGAATTTGAAGAATATACATGCAACAGATCTGGATAGACTTACACCAGATTAGGTAACTTTGTTGATATAAAATATACAATTTGTTTCACTTTATTTTTTGGCTGATCATATAATTTTTTTAATTGTTCTTGTCTTGTTTTATTAACAGAATTTGTATAGTTTGCTAGAAATGAAGCAACGTTGGTAAGGGTCTGGCAATATCATTGTTAAACTACAGAAAAAGAAAAAAAAAATCTATAGACATTCAAAAGGAAAAATTTACAGCTGAAAACAACTATCTACATA